CACTTCATTTAAAGAAATACTCAAACTCAAACATTTAAAGTAGAACTTAAACTACAACATTTATAGAAGAACTTAAACTCAAACTCAAATTCTTACTTCTTATTAAGCAACATACGCAATCAATTTTGAGTCGTGTTTGAGTAGGACAACATGTCAAGAAAAATTTAAACTCATATTGGAGGATTTTTCAGTCATCCCAAGTAAAGAAGAAATTTCTCTTACAATCAAATAATAAGTTATTCATAAGTTTCTTATAGAGGTCAATAGTAAACACATCATGACCTAATTTTCTTAGATGGTAAAGAATAACATTATCAACTTCAGAAGAGAGTTTTTGGGCTAAGTTTATGTCCTCTAAGTATTTTGTGGGTAAGCATCCAACTACTTGTTGTTTTAACCAAGGTGACTCTAACGTGTCACAGAGACTATGTAAAATTAAATGGGTTGTTGAGCCATTTATCTTCTGGGGGCTTGGTGGTGGTAACATTTTCTTTTGGTAAGATCGTTGGTTGGGGGGCCAATCTATTGACTCCCTTACAAACTCCTCTTCCAATATGGTGGTTAAGGTGAATTATTTCTTTCATGATAATTATTGGGTTTATCACAAGCTTTCTAATATTATCCCTAATTCTATTATTCAACAAATTTTGAACATCCCCCTTAATACTGACTATGATGACTTTCTTTTATGTGGCTCTTCTAAAGATGATGGTTTTAGATTAAAGGATGCTTTTCATGCCTTTAGATCTAAGAATGAGGTTTCTAATACTTTTTATTTGCTTTGGCATAAAAGTATTCCTTCCATGATTTCTATCTTTGTTTGGAGAATATTACATAAGTTCATTCCTATGGATGATAACTTAATTAAAAGAGGCTTTATTTTACCATCCAAATGCTAATGCTATCTTCATGTTGAAAATATGCATCATGTTTTTCGCTTGGGTCCCTTAGCTATTAAAACTTGGATTTATTTTGATGACATTTTTCAATTGAATTGCATTAATGCTTGAATGTCTATTAATGCTAGGCTTAAATGTTGGTTCATTAAGTCCAAAGGCCATATCAAAAATGTTATTCCTTCTCTCATTTTGTGGTATTAATGGTTGGATAAGAATAATTCTATCTTCAGTGGTATTGCTAAGAACCACTATGGGATTATTCAAAATGTGAAAGACAAGGTTGTTGCTCTTTTCTCTATTAAATTACTCTATGTCAAGAATTTTAAAAACTATCATTTTGTTGCTTCTGAATTAAGGATTAAGATGGAGGTTGATCATCTTCCTAAAGACCCTAGGGATATTTATTGGACCAAACCTCCTTTTCATTCCTATAAATTGAATGTGGATGGTTCTAGCTTTGGGCCTTCTTTAGGTTGTGGTGGGGTTATTAGGGACTTTCATGGTACCTTCATTATGACTTTTCCTGGTCCTTTATAGAATTGTGATGTTAACAAAGCTATTACTTTGGCTATTCTCTATGGTTTAAGGCTTTGTATCTCTATTGATTTAACTAATATTAGTATTAAAGTTGATTCTAAGTATTGTTTTCAAATCTTAAATTCTGTTGAGGACTCGGTGTGTAATTCTTCTCTTTTTTATCTGGTGAGGGATATTACGAATTTGTTGATTTTTATGAATTTTTCTTTCTCTCTTGTTCATAAGGATGGTAATGTGTGTAATAATTGGCATGCCAATTGGGGGAATGACCTGCACTGTATGTCTAATTTTACTACTACTAACCTCCCTGCTCCATTACGGGGTCTTTTAAGATTAGATAAAATTGGTATGCCTTATGTTAGAAACCTAATTTGTGCTATTGGCTGGAGTTTCTTATTTTATTTTCTTTGCCTCTTAAGGCTTGCTCAAAGGTTTTCTCCTTGGTTCTCTTTTTGTGCCCATTTCTTTTTTTGTTGTTCTTCTATTGCCCGGGCTACAGCTTTGTTGTTTCTTTTGGTGTTGTGACTTATAGTTTTTTGGACCCTTGTATCTTTGGGTTATTTGGTTTTCAGGCTAGTTGGAAGGTCTCGTCTTGCTATTCTTTTTTCTACCCGTTTGGTCCTCTATGTTGTTGCTTGGAAGGCTGTATTTTCAGGATGTCTGGGGGACCTTCTATCTTCTATTGGAGGTATGTTGTGAGTGTTTTAAGTGCTTTCTGTGTTTCTTCTTGATGACCTTTTTTAGTTATTTTTTGGGTAAGCTTTGTGTGTGGATAGTGGTTACATGGAGCATTTTGGTTTGTTTTATTGCCTTCTGCTTGGTTTCCTGGAGTTTCTCTCTGAGGCATTTCTCCTTCTGCTTTTTTATTTCTGTTTGGGTGCCACTGTGTTCTATCGATTTTGCTCTCTTATGGCCTTTTTTTCTATTGGCGTCTTTGTATTTTGAGTGTTTCTAGGTGTTTCCATGTGTTGTTAGATCGGTGCTGTCACTGGGCATTGTGGCTCTTTTATCTGTAGCCCCTTCCTTATTAGTTTTGGTGCTCTGTTTATTGCCTGGTGGTTTAGCATAGATGTATTGTTGGGTATTCTGGTTATGGTGAGATGGTGTTGGTTCATGGATCTCTTGGGCTCTATTTGGGTGGCCTATATCCTGGGCTGCCAGCTGGAGTTCTATCTCTATTTCTTATATTTCTTTACTTCTTTCAGCTGGCTAGTTTCCTTTCCTGGCGATTCTTGTCCCAATTTCTTATGGACTTTTAGGAGCTTTTTTGGGATTAAAGGTGTCATGTTCTCTTTATTAATTGATGGTTTGGCTATTTATATCTTGGAGGTGAACAAGTGTGGTAAACCTTCTTGCATTTCTATTGACCCTACTATTTTGAATCATAGGGCTGATATTGGTTACTCAGTTTATTCTACTGATAATGTTTGATTTCTTGTTATTATTTTTTGTTTGAACCTTTTTATCTATATTATGTATATATGTTGGAACTATCTCCCTGCTAGATATTACTATTTTTTGTGCTTTTCTTTCATGGCCTTCACCTTTTTTTGTAAAACTTTATTAGTGCAGGTGTTCATTATGGTGACTTTTTGGATAGGAAATTGGATATAAATGTTGGTTTTTGTTATCTTCCTTCTTTTTGGGTGCTCTTTCTTGTCCACCATATAATGTATCTAGGTGTTATTGTATTTTGGCCTAGTAGGGAACTCGAGCTCTTAGAATTTTTTGCTTTAATTATGTAGCTCTTATGAGCATTAGCGATCTTGAGATCCCTTTAAGAATTTTGTAATTTTTCCTTAATTAATGCATAGGCCCCTCTATGGGTTTCCCCTAAAAAAACATTATTAACTTCAAACATGTTATCAATATCTGAATTACCATTTTATTTTTTACGTCGGATTTGATGATATCACATATGTAAAAAATGGGAACTTACGAGATGTTAATCAACTTCAAATAACCTCATTCTAAGATATTTCCATCCATCAGTATTTAGAAAATCACTCATCTTATAGAGCTTGACCCTCATAACTTCAACATACAAATTTCAAAGTGTATGGTCCTCATCTTCAAACCATTCATGAACATAACATCTGAAAATATCATTTATACTAGACTTTTGCTCTAACGAATTATCGACTGCCCATGTCATACTATAATGTATTCTTCTGCTTCCTCATTAAATCTTTCTTTATTGGAGCAGAAGCAAATTTTCTAAAGAAAAGACCAACTCATTTCAAAGGTAACAAGAAAAAGATTCACAACCCTGCTAAATATGAACCAACTACATGCAATTTCTGTTATTGTTTAACTTGTTCTGCTATGTATATGTTGCACTTTTTATGTGTATTTGTAGTGCAATAGCTACATATTTGTTGTGTAATAGTTGCATATTAACTGCGTAGTAGCTGCGTATTTCCAAAATATGTATTGCGGATTCACTGCTTAGTTTCATTATATTTCTTGAGTACTTATCTTATATTTTAGACCAACTATCGGGATAACTTTACTCCGAAGCATCATGGAATAACCTCCGTATTCACTACATATCAAGTGAAAATTTTCTTAAACTTTATTAATACAAGCTTTATTATAAAAAAAATTCCTTTATTTTGCAAGAATTATTATTTTACAATTGTTCAAATGCTATTTTACAGGAAAATTAATCAAAGAATACAATAATAACCTATGTCAATGCAAAATGCATAGTCATAACAAGTTATTACATAGCTCATACGCAGTTCATAGGCAGCAGCTACACAACACATACACAATTATTATGCAATTCAGATGTAGTTATTATGTAGTTCAGATATAGTTATTACGACACGGATGTACACTAAACTCTAAAAACCCTAAATACAAAAAAAGAAAAAGTTTCTCTATGAAGACGAGCTGAATAAGAATGACTGAGTAACCTTGGAAGGTGAAGCCATTAGCACCTGAATGCTATTGTACAGTGATTGATCTGTATGGAATGCCGAAGATGCAAAGAGAACAGAGAATGCCGAGAACAAAAGTGAACACATAGATTAAAGTAATCCATTTCTGAGACATTTGATCTCTCGCAAATTTAATGTTTGGAGAAATTATTTAAATTATCAGGCTAGTCCAGGTCGGTCGAACCAACAAGAAAAAAAAAAAAAAAAAATCAAATGAATATCTATGTGTGCAATCCACGTGTCATGAAATCATTGAAGTTCGGAAGCAAAACTACGTCCGGACTCCGCACAAAATAATATATCGAATTGTGGAAGAGTTATGACGTCTATAACCGAATATTATTCACATGTTTACAACTCGAATGAGTATCCACCCGAACCACAAATGGAACACAATGTTTTATCTTAGATGTGAATAGTTCGACGTCAATATTGATGTCGCACTATTCACAAACTCATTTTCTTATTTGTTTGTAGAAATCCCTCATTTTATTTGCTGATAAAAGAAATACAAATAATATTTTTTAGTGCTAAAAAATAATTTTAGTTGGAGATAGAAAATATTTGATATGACTTGCATTTTCAGATGTAAAATAGTTTTTTTTTGTTTACCAGAATAACTTAAAGGGACGCTTTTTGCTGGTATATGCGAACCAAAATCGTTCCTTGCAATTGTCATAACTGTGCATCGATGGTAGGTGGAAGATGCTGCGCAGGGTTCTTCCTAAAATTTTCTACTCATTGGTCGTCGTGCCGGAGTTAAGGAGGGTGGCTGCTCCGGGTTTGTCATCGGCCGCTTTCAACTATCCTCCTGTTGCTTCACGTAAGGCGGTTCCAGAACCCTACTTCCTTCAGTGTCAAGTAGTCATCTAAGACGGTGTTTGCCATCTGTGCCACAAAGGTATTTCCCTTCTACGGTTCTGCGTTTATCCTCGAATCTCTTCTCCTTCTTTGGTTTTAGATTATTATGCCCGTGTGAGCTGTATGTCTTGTTTTTTTTTTTTTTTTTTTTTTTTTTTTTTTTTTTTTTTTTTTTTTTGAGAGGTGGAAATCGAAGGGAAAGAGAATTTTTCCATAGCACAAACAACCGGCGAAACAATAAAGTTGAAAGCACTAAAGACTAGGGTAACAACTAACAAGAGCTCATGATTTAAATTTTGTCCTGCTATCAAACAAGACTTCCACCTCTTTTAACCTAGAAAGTAGCTCTCCACTTAGGGCATCTCCAACCGAAAATATCATTTTTCACTCCAAAATGCAGGGAAATCAAAAAATGCCGTATTTCATCTCCAATCCAACGCCATTTTGCCGCTAAAATGGTCATTTTCGTTCGCGCCTTTCTTCCCAAGCTGTTCGGTAGAGAGAAAAAAATGCCGCGGATGAACAGTGCGACGCCAATATTGGCAAAAAAAAACTTAATTGCATAGAAGGTTTCTAGAAAATCACATAGATAGGGACATTCATGGAATAAATGGCTATTTATTAAAACAAGTCCATCACAAAGAAAACAACTAGATTTGAAATGGAGCAGTTTTGGATTCATGTAATAAATTATAAATATGAATGATTTATTAGAATAGGCTTATAAAAAGGACAGTGCTTTGTACTTTTGGATTCATGGAATATATTAGTTTTACTTGTGCAAATTTCATATTGGAAGGCTTGTTGGCTCCTCTGCTCTTTGATAAAGTTTGGTAGGTAAATCCCCTTAGGGTTTTTGTGAGTTCTTTATTATGTTTTTCTACTCATATTCCTCTCTTTCCTAGAAAAATTCTTATCTCTCTTACATAACTCACATACTAGCTTCTCTCAACCCTCAAACATATCCAACATTTTTAAAATACTATTGCAAATTCTCTTACATTACTCATAACATTCTTATGATTTGACTTCCCAACAACTCCAAAATACCCTAATTAATACAAAGGCATTAAAAATTTCACAAATCCTTAACTAGTATCCAAGACCCATCAAAACACCACTATTGGTTGCTTAACATATAAACATTTGATCTGGAGTTCTCATCCTTTTGCTTTAAAATAAAATTTTAACCTTTGATAGGTTAAAGTTTAGCATCAAATATATCAAAATCCTGAATTCCTATTTTACCACTACTTGTATACTTTTCCACCACCCTCCTAAAGGGTTACCTATTAAGTTGTTTTTTTTTTCATCAAGATTCTATAGACCTAACATTAGTTAGTTTTGGATGGTTTACATAACGGAAAAATAGTGTCATGCAATCTAAAATATTAGGCTTTGTTTTGAAGGTGGGGTTTGATTTTATTTTTTTTTTTAATGACATACAACAATAAAAACAAGCAGCCTTTATCCCACTACGTGGGGTTGACTGTGTGAATCATTTTTCTCCATTTTGTCTCATGAAGTATCAAAATCTTATTTAAATCTAATAAAAAAAGACAATTTTAATACTTTCTAACTATGACTTTTTAGTTCTATCTCTACATTTTTTAATATAAACTAGATCTAATACATTTATTCTCCTAACATGATCATTGAAAGGTCGACTTTTATGTGGCCATACCATCTAAGGTGACTCTCTTATCATATCTGTTATTGGAGCTACTCCAACCTTTCCATTTATATACTCATTTCACTTTCTATGTCTAATTGTAATGCTACTTATCCATCTGAGCATCCTCATCTCTACAATACTTAATTTAATTTTTTGATTCTCTTTTAAGGGCCAATATTCTGTATCATAAAACATTGCAGGTCTCACCACCATCTTATAAAAATTTTCCTTAAGTTTCAGGGATATTTTACTATCACATAATAGGCCCAATGCATTCCTCCATTTCAACCATCCAACTTGAATTCTACTAATGATATCCTCATCTATTTCACCATTGCTTTGAACAATAGGCCAGAGATATTTGTAATGTTTATACTTTTTAATGACTTAATCACCCATTGCACAATCCTGCCTTTATATTCATTACTACTTAAACTGTACTAGATGTATTTAGTTTTAGATCTACTCAAACAAAAATATTTAGACTCTAAGTTTAACCTTCATAATTTAAGTTTTTCATCAACTCTCTCTCTCGTTTTATCAATAAGAATATTATTTTCAGCAAAAAGCCTACATGAAGGTACATCATCCTGTATATGTTTAGTAAGAACATCAATGACTAAATCAAAAAAATATGGGCTTAAAGCTAATCCTTGATGTAACTCAACTAAAATAGGAAAATACTTGGTCATGCTACCTTGTGTTTGAGCACAAGTAAAAGCTCCTATATACATTTTCTTAATTATTTGAGTATAAGTATTATTAACTACTTTCTTTTCTAGGACTCTTTAGAGCAGTTATCTTGAAAATTGCGACCCTACAGATAGAGGAAAATATCCAACAAAAGAAATGAAAAGATAGCCACGAGGTATTTTGGCCCTTATCAAGTGTTGGAGAGGATTGGAGTAGTGGCCTATCACTTGAAGTTACCCTCGACCGCTTTCATACACCCACTGTTCCACGTATCATAGTTGAGGAGAGCTGTGGGGGATCATGCAACTATTATAGACCAGGGTCGCTGACAGAGGATCTAGAGGTGGTTTTTTTAACCACTAGAGCTTAAAGGGGTACGACGGGAAGAAAGAGAGCCCAATGAAGTGTTGATTAAGTGGAAGAACCCACCTGACTATGATGCCACATGAGAGCCATATGGGAGGGTAAAGCATCAATTTCCCTCCTTCCACCTTTGAGGATAAGGTGATTCCATGGGAGGGGAGTATTGATAGATCGGTCCCTGGATTGGGTCTAGCCGGTACAACCAGGATTGGTTTAGGTTTACATGAGGTGGAACAGGGTAAGTTTCCCCCCATCAATGTCGCCCCAATCCAAGTGGGGCCCACAAGCTTAATTAGGGGGAATTAGGAGATGGAAGGGGGGGGGGGGATTTAGGAGGGAAATTTCAATATATAAGGAGATTCATGTCTGTTTAAGAAGGAATTATATCTAAGGTTTGCTTTTTCATCTTGTTGTTTTGCTGAAATTTCCTGCTTAGTTTTTTGTTTGGGCTCTAACAACACCTAAAGATTTGGGAGAGCTGGATCTTCCTCTCTAATAGAAGATCCATTTTATCATATTTGTCTTCTTCCATATTTCATTGACTTTTTTAAGTGTTTTGCCACCAGATTCTTCTCTATTTTAGATTCAATCTTGCTGAAATTTCAATTTCAGTCAACAATTTCGGCACTTGTTCCCTTACAGAATCCATATGAGCCCCCTATATCTTTTCCAAATCTCAAAACTTTATATCTAAGCTAATTTTTATAATGATTTTTTTATTTATTTATTTTTTATTTTTTTATATATTGTTGTGATGACATACGTAACATCTAAATTTTATTTATTTAAAAAATGAACATCAAACTACATCTATTTTCAATAATACAACAAAAATCTCAAAAAGCACAAAGTCCCAATCTCATATTTTTCATTTTCATTAAATTTCCAATAGTTTGGTTACAACCCGCACAAATTCATGGGTTTAGTCATTTATTTTAAAAAACTTTGTATTAATTTTGGTAAATGAGACAATTTTTGGTGACGTGTACAAATCTCTCTTTTATCATTTTGATTTTTTTATTGTGTAATAGTTTGACATTAGAATCTGTAATTTTGGATCAGAAAATTCATTTCTTTGTATTCTAACTAAGAACATAGTTATTTATTTAATTCCCCTAATTTCTCGGCTTGGGGCTACGAATTGCAACAATGTTTCGAGATGTTTTCCTTCTAATTATTTTCTGCATTTAGGTTTAATCATAATAAGGAAAAATATGAAGTTATTGATTTTCATAAGGGGAGAACTAAAAATTTTGTGAAAGATTATCATTGAAATTTAATTATTTATAATCTTATTCTTTACTTGTTATTAATAAGATCGTATACTATAAAATCATTACTTTAGGTGTAAAGTGGGTGATCAAAGTAGACAAGGATGCAATGATCAAATTTTGTTGTCTTCAGTCGAAGGCTGCTGAGCCATATCTATTATTTTGTGGTGTTAATAAAGAGGATTTACAAATGCGAATGTTGTTCGTTGAGAGCCCTGACGGATACTTTGGAGGATCTGCAGGTTAGTACTCTCATCATCTCTCTCTAAATGGTTTGTGTGCTCACTATGATCGATCAACATCATGTTTGTGCATCCATGCATGCACATATATCTATGCCAATCATGCAAGACGTTTTAAAAAGGATTTTTTTTCTATTGTCAAAGATCCAATTTGGCTATCAAATTAGTACTTCAAATCTTTATTCACATAGCCATGAAGGTGGAAAATTAGACATGACTAATCTACTTATCTTCATAGCAAATTTTGAGCTAACCAGTTTTCTGAATCTTCCTGGAAATTTAGTTACTGTAAATTTCGTGATCTTTGTAAATTTTGTTGTGATTTCATCATTTTGTCAGTCCAGAAAAAATTCACACTTTAACAGAGCCATTACAAATGCAGATCCAGACCTTTCTAAAACTGCATAGGTTTAATCTTGTGGGTGCAATGCCCCATTTGCTATCTAAAAACTTGACGAGACAAGTGTTTGCATATCATAATTTAATGATTTCCTCAAATTGTGCTATGATATGAACATAAGATTTAGATCTAAACCTACATAAAAGTATTTTCTTGTAAAACCTCAATTTTTTTCCAGGTTCTATGAGCCAAAATTTTGTGCTGTCAATCATATCCCAAAAATGATAAACTAGTACTTAGAATGACAGCTAGTAGTTCGAGTCCAGTTTTCCTTCTAGCTTATGCACTTTATGTACATGAATTTGACATAATTGTCTATAATGCACATCTGATCTCTTGGAATTTATGGAATTGAATGTATTGGAACTACTATACCTTTTTTTTGGATGTTTATTCTTTCCTTTTTTATATAAAGTTTGATCCTTTGTTTTATTTGTTTATGAAAACTACTGATTACTATTCTTTTGCTTCTTTCCTTGTTTCCCAACTTTATGCTAATCATAAAGCTGCTTGTTTGGTTCTTTAGCATTTTTTTGATACATTTTTGTTTTAAGAATGCAATATGCCATTTATGTTGTTCCTTTAAGATACATTTATCTTAATGTTCATCACCTTGAACAAAGAAATGACATGAATACATAAGAGAAATGCACTCTTAAATACTTTCTTATATTTAAAGATGCTTTTTTATCTGTTTTAGTGTGGCATACTGGCATTCATTCTTCCTAGACCTAGCATATGGAAAAATATAAAATATTAGAGGAACCAACCAATATTCTCTTGCATTATAATCATTCCCTGGAATTTACCTCCCAATTGGTATTATTTATAAATGTATTTGTTTCTTCCTATGGATGGTGCTTTTGTTGTTAGATATGTACAACTACTTCAGTTTGTACAAATTGTTCTTGTTCCCAGCATTTTTAGTGTGATATCTGGTTTGATCTTATGGAAAATTACTAGTCAAACCCTAGATCTTCACTTGGAGGAATGGGCAATACACTTGGTTATGTACTCAATAACTTTGTATTTGCTTGTGCACACAAATATAGGGATATACCTCTATCCTTTTATATGGATAGAGATATTTTCACCTTATAATTATATTTTGGCCTAGTTTTCACGCATGTAAGAAGTATTCAGAAAATCAAGACAATTCATTTTAAACTAACCCAAAAAAAAAAAAAAGTGGAATGTCAAATTTCATAAATTTGAGGATTTGATCATGCATCCTACTTCAAATATAGTGCTCTATAGACGTGAGATTAATTTTTAATTGTAATGTAAAAAGTGCTAACTCAAATGAAATTGATGTGCAAATGCATAGTATGATATTTTGAACGTTTCTGATGACTTTAATTTCAATATATAGATTGTTGTACATTAGTAAGGGGTGTACTACTAGCTATTAGAGTTTTTATCAAAATGATGAATTGTCGAACATTCATAAGAAAATAATGAAATTAAATTTTAAATATGCTCTGGGTTTGCAGATAACAACAAAATATAATTTTTTTTATATTTAAAGCTGATAAGATGAAAAAGAAATTATATAGAGTTTCTTACATAAAAAAGAATTTGGATTATAAATTTTCATTTTAAAACATCACCTATTAAAACAAGAATTTATCCTCTTTTGATGTAACCAAAAATATGACATTCAATGCGGAATGATATTCGAATAATCACTCGAATCAAAAAACATAGCAAGCAATTGAAACTACAAAAAAAGCTAGTCAAGTAAGATTCACATAGTAGAAAAAACCTAACTTTAATTGATTTGACTAAAATCATTCATTTTTGCAAAATCACTAACAATATGCTGATAGCCACTCTGGAATTAGTAAAGAGAATAAGGCGAGAGATTATCAAAATAGGAAACACAAGTCTCATGCCAAGATGACTTTCCCTGCAATTTGATAGCCACCCTTGCACCATATCCAGAAGTCACATGAGAACACAAAAAAACCAGAAGAAAATACAAAATGTCTAAATTTTCTATTCTACAAACATCTCAGAAGTCCCAAGGAGAATCACCGTTCAAAATCAATAGATAGTTCATTTGAATAGGATAATGGACAAGGCATTAAGGTGGCTAGTGGCGGGATAATTTCAAACATCAGATAAGCAAAGTCCAAACAATGTCAACTACCTGAACTGACAATAAAAATGTCTCAACTATTTGGGCTGAATGTGCATCCAGCCACAATATCACCATAGACCAATAAATACAGGAACCTAACAGCAAAGATGCTGAAGCTATACATGATCCATCACTAAATCGACATTGAACTAATAACAAATTTAACCTAGAAATCAGAACAATACAGAACACATGTTGTTGATTCTATGTGGCCTACAGATCGAAATATGGCTACTATAACGTAAAGATACAAGAACACTTCTTGTTGATTCTATATACATCATCATTTAAATTTTTTTTTAAATTACTTCTTATGGAAGCATATGCAACTTGTATCTTGTCAGTTGGTCCACAAAATGCTTGGGACCAGATTGACTGACCGACCTTTTTTATTTTTCAGTCCTAAAAGGAGGTTAGACTGATTTTGGCTGAGAGTTGATATGAACTAAGCTGAAACACTTAGGTTAGTTTATCTTTCTTGCTGTTTGGGCCTTGAGAGGTGGCGTTTATTTTGTAGTTTAAATCCATTATTGCTATGATATGCACTCGGTACCTCTCTCGCTCGCTTTGATTGTAATACCCTGCATTTGATCAGCTGCTACTGATGATTCTAAATTCCTGATTTTTATTTTGTAAAATATCACTATATACTATTTTATCAATTTAAATGAGGCTATTATTCTAGTAATTCCGAATTTGGCCTAGTGAAATAGTTGATAAAAGTTATATTTGTATGCTTTTTAGTACGTCTAAAAATAAAGATTTATTTGGGGCATTTTTCTCGATACTTTGTTTTTTCATATGCTTGGCACTTTTTTATTTTATAAATTTTTATATCAAAGTGTTGCATCTTCAAATTAGATCAGTTAGTATGTCGTAGTTATAAAAAGATGCCCCCTTTTTTAAATATTTATAAAGAAATTATTGTCTCCATAATGTTTCTGTAATTATCTTTATAAAATGTTGTACCCCAAGCAGATATTTATTCTGCCAAATTAGTATAATGAGTTTCGATTTTGGATTATATATTAGCATTTTTTTTTTAATGAATGGCTAACTTTTATTTTTTATTAACTTTCTCAATGTCAAATTCTCTTACCGTTCATTAATTCATATATGACTGCTCACAGCTGCTCTTAAGGTTGCTTCATACCTGCCATTTCCATATTCGGCCATAAGTGCTTTGCTTCTTGTACCTGCACCAATTAGGGACGCTGCCTATGACTATATTGCAAAGAGGAGATATGATTGGTTTGGGAAGGCAGATGAGTGCATTGTGATGAAAGAAAGGGAATTTCTTGAGCGTTTCATTGATAGGGATGAGATGATGAGAGGGGGTCCAAATGATTTCTGATTTATGTGACTTTTTTTTTAATAAAATTCTGGACAGATAATTTGGAGCTGTTCTGTTTTTTTATTTAAAATTAATTCAAATTATTTTAAAAAGTAGGAACTTTCAACCATTTTATTTTGGCTTCGTTTGGGACGGTTTTTTTATTGTTTCTTAAAGCAATTTTTTCATTAAAAATTTTAAATTTGTGTCCTAAATGAAACCTTGGTGTGCCATGGATAGTAAAATAGTAAGAAAGTTGTCCCAAATTAAACCTCAGTCTTATGAGTTTTCTTGAAAGTTATGTGATGACCAAGTTTAGCAGATTTTGTAGTCACGTCTTAAAAATTTTAACCATAATTTTTTCATGTTTTAAATGGTTGGATTTGATGCCAAATTATCGAGAAGATTTAGTCCAAAGTGTATTTGAATCTTTTGAAATATAAATATATGATTTTCAGCTTTCAATGTCTAAAATATAATTTTCACTTAAAATGGGATGTGAGAAAAAATAAGAACTAACTTGTTAAATTAGGGATCATTTTCGATTAATATTTGAATATATTTATTTTATTTTAACTTGTAATAAAATAATTTAAAGTTAAAATTTAAAAGATTATATATTAAAATCATTAATTATATAGTTAGGTAAAATATTTCAAATTAATTATTATAGTAAAATAAATTACGTAAATATCTTTGAAAAAAAAATATCATCATATCCAACTAATTTAGAAACCTATAGTGCATGTAATAATATATATGCTTCATTTTAATTTCTTGATTATGTTGCCAAAAGTTGATATGAATATTCATTTCAGTCAAATGCTTATGCTAATTAAATTATTAATCTAAATTTAGAACTAAATTTGGTGATATTTATGCTCCTTTATTAGCTTACAATTCAATCAAATATTTAATTCACATTCATCATTAATTTTAACATACATCCAACCCATATATAATTTAAGCTACAAAATTATAAAAAATATTAATTTTCAAATTAATATTTATTACATAAAAAAAAAGCGAAGGTAAAATAATATTTAAAAACTATAATACTCATTTGTTTAAATTCTTACAACACATTTAAAAATTATTTGAGAATTTCAACACATTGAATTGAAAGCCATTAATATGTTTGCACAATTTTTAAGTAAAAAGAAAAACATCTCTATCAAACTCAATTAGAAGAATGAAACAGATAAAAAGAACAAAACTAATAAATTACAGTGCATCAAACAGATCAAGTTATGCTACAGATTAATCTAAATTCTACAAGTAATTTTTAGGATTGGAGCTCTTAGAGAAGCATAAGGTCACTATAGGAGCAACAATACAAAATGATGCCGTAACAACAACAACATAATAGATCCACTTCTTCCATTTTCTTCCCCCACCATGCTCGGCAATTGCAATCTTCCCGACTGCTCCAAGGACTGTGTCAGACCACAAATAGTTGTATTCTTCTCCTCAATTAATCACTCCATATTCCTTTGAATTGCATCTTTTTCTCTAACCACGGAAAGTGGACACATTTCCGATGCATCGAGCTGAGTAGCAACTGACTATGTCTTCTTCACGACAATCTCCGCGTTGCCGCAAGCAGTGGCATCAGTGAGAATAGAGGAGACAACGCGCTTGCTGCTAGCGAGGGTGTCGTGGTTGTGGTCGGAGGCCAATGAAGCTAGCCAAAACTGGTGTTATTTTATTTGTTTGGGGAACTCCGCCACTTCTTTTACGAGTTGGTTATGGAGGGTTTTTTGGTTTATCGATAGCTTTAGTTTCGGAGCTTCCAACTGTTGTTGGGTAGAGTGATTCTTCTTCTTTTCCATGAGAAGAGGAATAGAAGAGGGTTTGAAAGGAATTAATTTGGTTCTTTTATTTTGAAGAGAATAATTGGTTTAAGTGATTTAGATCGGTAAGGATGTTGTTTATTTCTAGAGCTTTGGGGTGCGCTCGCTGTTTAATCGATAATTGAATCGTGGAGGGAGAAACAGACCGCTATGAGACCAATAATTCAGGGATAGTTTACACTCCCTTTAGAAAATCGAAAACTTAAAAGTTCTTTCTCGTATGTAATAACCTCCCGCTTCCTCTCCACCATTTTCAACTTCCCCAAGCTTTTTGGCCGCCTCAACATTGTTCCCCAACCTTTTTTTGCCGCCTCTGCAACATAATAAGCCACACATACCCAGTAAGCAGATCTCCCAGCCTGACTTGGTTAGGTTAGCCTACTCTTCTTGCAGTAGATCAATCTGGCAACCTCCGCATCATTATTTTTGATTAAATTTTCATTATATATTTTCTTTCTCTATACCCTCTTATGATTTTAGTGTATAACTTTCTTGCATCGCTCTTTTTGTTTTTCTTTTTTTTTTTTAGTATGGTTGAAGAACTCAGAGATGTTATAATGCATTTTTCTTATTAATAAGTCTTAATGAGGATAAGAATTATGATGCTATAGAAGTTTTTCTTGTATTCATGAGGAAGCTATTTTCTATGTCAGGCTTCTAAGTATTGCTACTAATTTTTTTTTGTTTTATTTGGAGTGAATACACTTATGTAACTTTGCAACACCACTCTATGTCTACTTAATTTCATTGAAGAAGCATTCTATATTGTCTCCAATCATAGTAATAAAATTTTTCAAAATTTAAGGAAATTATGCTATTTTTTAGTAAGTAAACACGAAGCTATAGTGAGGGCTCTTGAGGCATAAGTCCCTAGAATACTAGCTTGAATTGTAACACTGGTTCATATAAAAATTTACTTAAAATAAATTAAATTTTTATAAAACCTAACCCTAATATACGTAAGTTTACTTACACTTCCAACCTCCCTTTATCAGAGAAGGCATCTGAGATTATGACATCTTAAAATAGCGGAGTAACTTATACATCAAAAAAATTTAGCTTAAAAAAGCATGAATCTTGATTGATGTATGATATGTTAACAAAAATTGCTTTGATTGTGCATGAATTTTGAGGCATATTCAAGTTGAAAACTTTCAAAATTTAATTTGGGACCATCTAAACTCAAATTTCATTAAACTTATGGTCAAATTGAACGTCTTGACAAGACCAACCCAACGACACCAAAATTGTCTAATCCGAGTCCAATTTAATGAGCCGAAGCATATTTTAAAGATCAAAAGCATTAATTGGGTGACCAAATGATATTCAAATATGGGCATGCTTATAGTTTTATCAAGCGGTTTGATGAGAAGAATAAAATGAGCCCAAGATCACTTAATTCTAACATCATCAAGGTACTTAAATGTTGAACGAATGCTCCATGATTGAGTTAATATATATGGGCTGTCCAATGAAGCACTTTGAATTTGTTCTCGATCTTCTCCATGTATATGAAGTATGTCACTCTCAAAATTTATAAATAGATCCTCACTCTCTACATGAATGAGACTCTTAAAGGCTTGGACCTAGGTTAGAGACTTGAAAATGCTTTGAGGCCTGAAATTTCCTACAGCTCTACCAAGCACCATAATCAGTGAGCCCTAGTTGCCCCTGCCATTGATATTGGGTTGCGAATCTAAATCTAAATACTTTGTTTTTGATGATAACAAACATTATTGTTTCTTCATCGCTACAATTATTAAATATCTATATTTTTGCTTTGCTTACTAATCTTTCATATCCACAAAGATCACTTGCAATGCAAATCAACTCAAGTTAGGATAGATTAGGGTTGAGTCTGCTTGTAATTTCATATCAATGTAATTTTTACCTTTCTTGAGTCCAATCCTGAATATGGTGGACCCCAAGTGTTTAAGGGAAGAAATTTGGTGAGTTAGATATTTTTTCTATTTTTTTACTAAATCTACAAGATGATATTAAATCATCATGGACGATCAGTTTAAAAACAAAAACCCTGATTAGGGCATCTGACTAATTTCAAATGATTAAACTAATCGTACTAGACGATCTATATCGTTAAGGACAATCAGCTTAAAAGATGAAAATAGTCGTCAATCATAATTTAGGTAATGTTTTAAGTTTCAAATTTTGTTGTAATCTTATAGGATTATATGCATCTATTTTGATGATTTTTGACAACCATACCTAAATTGATATGGTGATTAGGAGAGTAATTATGATTAAATTATTCATTCAAATCATACAGGATGATCCATTTGGATTGTACTGGACAATTTAGACGAAAAACCATAATTTTACTCTAATCGTCCAGTAGGATCATCTGAACGTCCCAAGATATTTTCTGGACGATATGGAGATCTCCACCCATAATCTAATGTTGTACTGGATGATCAATATGGTATGTTAAACTAATCGTACCGAATGATCGCAAGATCATACAAGATGATATGTATAAATTCTTATACTGATTGTACATAGAAAATGTGATCGTCCTGGCTGATAGTGTTATTTTATACTAATCATACAGGATGATCTATCGATCGTCCTAGACGATCATTTGCGTTGAATTTAAAATTAGGGCTTCTTTTGGAAGCTCTATATTTAAGTAATTATATTAACCCTTGGGTTAATCTTTTTGCTGTGGAGTTGATCCAAGAGGGTTCTTAGAGAAGGAAGAGGGAGAGCTGAGAGAGAGAGAGAGAGAGAGAGAGAGAGAGAGATCCTTATGAGGGGAAATTTGTGAGGGAATCAGACTTCAATACTTGATCTAGGTTTTCTACTCTAGGAGGGAGTCAAAGGATTCCCGAGTTCTCTTCCTTCACCAGGTGGGTGAAAACGGATTCAAGATTCTCTACGTATTCGTATTGGTGGAAAGATTATATAAAGGCTTCTTTACCTTACTGTGGGAGAAAAACGAGAGTCAATTCACTTTAGTGCAATACTTGGAGAGGGAGTCTCCAAGGAGTGGAAGTAGGTCATATTTGATCGAACCACTATAAAACTCGGTATCTTCTTTCTTATTATTTTCACACTTTTTCTATGATTTGTTCTGAGGTTGAAATATCTTATCATATTGCTATTATGAATATTATTTTTCTTCAGCATCAAGAGTTATTATTTTGTTTTAAAATATTTAGAAAGATCAAAAATATATTTTTTTTGTTTCAAAATTTTTAAAACTACCAATTCACCCCCTCTTGGTTAGCCCCGGGCTAGTTCTT